ATTAAATGTTATCAGTAAAAAGGAAACATTCCTTTTTTTTTCTTTTTTCCTTTTTGGCCAGAAGATTCTAAGTCACTTTGACACAGAGAAGTTGTCTTGGTTTCCAATCCAGGTTCAGAGTTTCACGTAAGGAGCTTCTGAACACAAATTCTACGTTTGTCTTAACTTTGTACTTTCTAGGGAAACAAACCTGGCTTCACTGCACAGTTCAGAACAGACTCCTTTATACATGGTGGACTCCTTTATACACAGTTCTGCTTTGCTTTGCACCTATCCAAACAATACTTCATTCAACTTTACCTAAACTCTAGTTTTCCTTAAAATCCTGTAACGGTATCTTTTCCTGTTTGGTGAGATGTCCCACAGTTCCTCTGGTATGTGGTCTTCCTTGTTGCAATTTGACCTTCTCAAACTCAAGGTTTGTTTCTGGTGATCTTAGGCTGAGTGGGCTAGAATGTGGGTCTGGGGGTACAGGGGTGTTTGATACCATTCCCTCTTGCATATGATTCACATTTTCCATAAAATTTCCAAGTTCATGAGAAGTCTTCACCCCATGAGAATAGTAGGAACCATGATAGTGTTTGAGATCTGTAGAAGGCAGAATAATAGCCTCCCTCCCACCCCACAGCTTGGATTTCCCAGAGGAGGCCAGTGTAATCACGTGGGTCCTTAAAAGCAGGGAAGGGTTCCTGGCTGTGGTTAGAGATGCAACATTACTGGCTTTGAAGATGAAGGGGCCACAAGCCAATGAATGTGAGCAGTTTCTAGAAGACAGAAAAGGTAAAGAAACAGAATCTCCTCTAGAACCTGCAGAAAGAAAAGCAGCCCTGTTGATAACTCGATTTTGTCCCAGTGAGACCCATGTCAGAGTTCTGACCTCCAGAGCTATAAGATAATAAATGTGTGCTGCTTTAAGCGATTACATTTGTGGTACTTTGATAATGGCAGTGATAGAAAACAAATCCAAGATCACGCAGAGGGAGTGGACGAAGACAGAAATGAGCCAAGGGTGACTTGGGGACACCAACACTTTCGAGGAAAGGAGAGAAAGATGTCAGCCCAGGAGGCAGAAGGGGAGGCATCAAATGTAGGGAAGCCAGGGGAGACCCACAAAGGAGAGAGTGGTTCGGAGAATGTAAACTGCTGTTTAAGTGAGGGCTGAAGAAGGTTAAATAGTATTAAAATTTTAAAGTGCATGTTATTTCGTTGCATCACTTCTGTGATTCTGGTATTTGCATATAACAAACAGCCTCTTTTACTTGAAACTATCACCTTCTCTCTCACGTTGAAAGCCTGAGAGTTTGAAAACTTTCACAACCTTGATCCTTGTTATAAACCCATCAAGGTAATATTCAGGTTCCAGAACAGCAGGTTTTACCACATCGTCAAACCAGAAAGAAATGCAGCTATTTTTTATGTGTTAATCCAAATTTTTTGATGCTGGGAGTCGGCCTAAACCAAGAATAACAGCCATCCAGACTGGCCTGACAGTGTAGAGTAGGGACCATTTTAGTGCGACCTCCACTCTCTAGCATTCCCTTTAAAAACCCAAGGCGCCCAAGGTTTCAGCCTGCCTTCCTGCGGTCCTAATCCGCATACTTACAGGCTCCACCCAGACCTACTTGCCCCTCCCCCGCAATTTAAGTTTCAAAATTACTGCTGTTCATTAATGTTTACTCTCTACAGATGATCTTAGCTACAAATTTGGAAAATAACAAATTATATCACCTAGGTTAGACTGTTGATGGCCCGCACTATCCTAGAAGACATTTACTTTTTTTTTTTTTTTTGAGACAGTCTCGCTGTGTCACCCAGGCTAGAGTGCAGTGGTGCAATCTCGGCTCACTGCACCCTCTGCCTCACAGTTCAAGTGATTCTCCTGCCTCAGGCTCCCGAGTAGCTGGGACTATAGGCCTGCACCACCATGCTCAGCTGATTTCTGATTTTTAGTAGAGATGGGGTTTCACCTTGTTGGCCAGGCTGGTCTCGAATTCTTGGCCTCAAGTGATCCGCCCGCCTCAGCCTCCCTAAGTGCTTGGATTACAGGCTTGAGCCACTGTGCGCAGCCAACGTTTAGTTTCTAAAAGGCAATGTTTATCAGTAGAGATGCTGAATTTGTAGACTTTCAGACTTTAAAACTAGGTGAAGAGTGTGGTGGCTTACACCTGTAATCCCAGTGCTTTGGAAGGCCAAAGCGGGAGAATCACTTGACACCAGAAGTTGGAGACCAGCCTGGGCAACATAGTGAGACAGTCTCTACTAAAAATAAAATAATTAGTGGGCGTGGTGATGTGCACCTGTAGTCTCAACTACTCAGGAGGCTGAAGTAGGAGGATGGCTTGAGCCCAGGAGTTCGAGGCCGCAGTGAGCTGTGATTGCCACCACTGCACTCCAGCCTGGGCAACACAGTGAGACTGTGAGGGGTAAAAAAAAGGAATGAAGTACGTGCTACCACTTGGAAGAACCTTAAAAACATTATGCTCAGTTAAAAAAAGAAGTTACAGAACACAATATATTATGATTCTATTCTTATGAAATTGCAGAATAGGCAAATCTATAGAGACAGAAGTAGACTAGTTGTTGCCTAGGGCTGGGAGTTGGAGGCAGGGGAACTTGGGGGAGATGGGGTATGGGCTTTCTTTTTGGGGTGATGAAAATGTTCTGGAATTGTGGTATTGGTCATACAGCCCTGTGACTATTATACTAAAAAACCATTGAATTATATACTTTTTTATTTTTATTATTTTTTTTTTTGAGATGGAGTTTTGCTCTTGTTGCCCAGGCTGGAGTGCAGTGGTGCGATCTTGGCTCACTGCAACCTCTGCCTCCCGGGTTCAAGCGATCCTTCTGCTTTGCCTCCTGAGTAGCTGGGATTACAGGCATGCACCACCACACACAGCTAATTTTTTGTATTTTTAGTAGAGATGGGGTTTCACCGTATCGGCCAGGCTGGTCTCAAACTCCTGACCTCAGCTGATCCACCTGCCTTGGCCTCCCAAAGTGCTGGGATTACAGGCGTGAGCCACCACGCCTGGCCCGTACACTTTATTTTTCAGAGATAGGGTCTTGCTCTGTCACCTACAAGTGCAGTGGCAGGATCATAGCTCACTGCAGCCTCCAACTCCTGGGTTCACGTGATCCTCCCACCTCAGCCTCCCAAGTAGCTAGGACTATAGGCTTACTCCACCACACCTGGCTTATTTTTTAAATATTTACTTTTTTGGAGAGCTGGTCTCTCATTATTTTACCCGCGCTGGTCTCGAACTCCTGACCTCAAGCAATTCTTACTTTGGCTTCCCAAATCTCTGGGATTACTGGTGTGAGCCACTGTGTGTGGCCTGAATTGTACAGTTTAAATGAGTGAATTGTATGGTATGTGAATTACATATCAATAAAGCTATTAAAATGTTTTAAATAAGTAGGATAAGGAAATTGTCATACTTCTATATTAAAACACAATTTTTTTTTTTTTTTTTTGAGATGTAGTTTCGTTCTTGTCACTGGAGTGCAGTGGTGTGATCTTGGCCCAATGCAACATCCACCTCCTGGGTTCAAGTGATTCTCCTGCCTCAGCCTCTCAAGTAGCTGGGATTACAGACATGCACCACCATGCCCGGATAATTTTTGTATTTTTGGTAGAGACGGGGTTTCGCCATGTTTGCCAGGCTGGTCTTGAACTCCTGACCTCAGGTGATCCACCCACCTTGGTCTCCCAAAGTGTTGGGATTACAGCCGTGAGGCACCTTGCCTGGCCTACGTATTTGTTAGAAACCAATCTCACATTAATTTCCCCTAGGCATAAAGGTCAGAAACACAGCTTTCTGTCTTCTGGGACACTCTTACGTCCCCAGATCATTCATCTTCCTGTGCACCTGCAGAACTGTCAAGGGTTCAGTGCAGGAGGTCCGCTCCTGTGAATCACGGACCTGCAGGCTTCTGGCAATGGAGCACTTGAATCCTATAGAGCCATGTCTTTTTCTTCCCTTAACAATAAATTCTATTTGAAGGTTAAAGAGCACAACAAAAAATTCTTTTCTTTTTTTTTCCTGCACGGAGAGATCCACTCCATTAACGTTATGTGAAACTCAGTGGGTAAGGTATTTAGACAAAGCTAGAGTGCCGGGCTGGCCAATCTTAAATGTCAGATGCTTAACTTTTGGGTTCTTGCTGTTTTCTCCCTTTCTTTTAGCCAGGTTCTTTAGCTCTAGGACAAGGGATTAAGTTCCCCACACCTGTCCCCCATATCAAGAGTGGCAGATGGTAAGAGATAAGGAAACTTCCTAGAGTTCAAGCTCCATTTCCTGCTCTTAGGGCTCACATTTAAGATCCCACCCACTCTTGAGCCACTTTTCCCTTCTTCATGCATGGCAGGTAGGGCTTGGGGGAGAGTTCTGGGAGCAATTTGAAAATTGCTAGTTGATATGGTTAGGCTTTGTGTCCCCAACCAAATCTCATCTTGAATTGTAATCCCCAGGTGTCAAGGGAGAGACCCGGTGGGAGGTGACTGTATCACCGGGGCAGTCTCCCCCATGCTGTTCTCATGACAGTGAGTTCTCATGACATCTAATGGTTTTATAAGGCAGTTTTCCCTGCTCTTTTTGCACTCGCTCATTCACCTGCCACCACGTAAGATGTGCTTGTTTCCCCTCTGCCATGATTGTAAGTTTCCTGAGGCCTCCCCCACCATGTGAAACTGTGAATCAATTAAACCTCTTTCCTTTAGAAATTACCCAGCCTCCAGGTCAGTTATCATTTAGCAACATAGATGGAATCAAACTGAAAGGAAATAAAAAAAAAAAAACCGATAGGCTTAGTAGCACGGGTGAGCAGAAATGGTAACCGAGAGTGCATACTAATGCACCATCAGCTGAAGAACTCAAAAAAAAAAAAAAAAAAAACAGTATATCTTATACACTGTGAAAATGGACTAATACACTAGTCTAGAGGTGAATTCAGAGCAAGCACCAAGAAACACATGCTGAAATAAATGAGCAACTGAATTAGAAAAACAAGCAAAACTTAAACTTTATTTTCAAAATGCTTCAGATACAAAAGAAAACAATGGTAAAGTCTAACAATAATTAACAAACCAGCCCTTGAGCAGCAGAGTGCTCCAGGGATGAGAGGGGCTGGGAATGGAAAGGTGGTTGAGAGACACAACATTTTTCTAGCTTCAGAAAGTCAGGGAGCCCAGATCACAGCCTGAACATCATGGTATCAGTTACAGATTCTTTATAAAGGTGTTTACCTGTGGGAAGGAGAAAATCAAAAGTTTAATTTCACATTTTTAACAGAATTTTCTTTTTTTTTTTTTTTTTTTTTTGAGACGGAGTCTTGCTGTGCCCCAGGCTGGAGTGCAGTGGCGCGCGATCTCGGCTCACTGCAAGCTCCGCCCCGCCGGTTTCACGCCATTCTCCTGCCTCAGCCTCCCAAGTAGCTGGGACTACAGGCGCCCGCCACCTCACCCGGCTAATTTTCTTGTATTTTTAGTAGAGACGGGGTTTCACCGGGTTAGCCAGGATGGTCTCGATCTCCTGACCTCGTGATCCGCCCATCTCGGCCTCCCAAAGTGCTGAGATTACAGGCTTGAGCCACCGCACCCGGCCCAGAATTTTCAATAGTCCACCCCCAATGCATATGCAGTCAAGCCCATGAGGTTTTTGTGAGGAAAGGAAAATAGGCATGGAGAAGAAATGTGAGAAGCCCAGGGTCGTATAGCATCAAGGGGCAGAGCTGGGAATAGAATCCAGTAGTCTTGTTTCCCTAGTTTTAGGATGCCTTAGAGAGGAAAGTCAGCTGGCAAGCACATGTTACAAATCAATTATTTAACAATTATTAGTCCAGCATACTTTAGAGAATAGGGATATATTTGTAATTTGCACAAGATCCCATAGGCCTTGGAGTGTGAAATGCAATGTGAGATGCAAAGCACAAGACCCATGATATTGAACTTTGAAGCAAAAGCCAGAAAGATAAAAGTACAACAAAGGAAGCCACTAGAAAGCAGAAGTTAAAGTCCTTCCCACCTCTCTCATGAGGTCTTCTTGTTTGGTTACTTCCTCAGAAAAATCATCATTGACATCCAACACCAGCACTGGAATGTTCATCAGAGCCTCAAAGTGGAGCCTATAAGAAGCGTGAACGTTTGGGGGACAGAAAAAAAGAAAAGTAATTTGAGTCAAGTTTCACATACTTGCCAAGTCTTTCTTACTCAGAGAACAGCTCTAAATTCAACATGACTTTTCAATGAAACTGCGTGTAAACTGCATTTAAAAAAACAAATTCAATAAAGTTGGCTGGAAACAGAAAGGTTGAGGTTTCTCTTTATTCTTGAGAGTGATACTAACGGTCAGAGCACCAAACATTTTAAGTGGACAACAAACCAAGCCAAAGGCAGGACAGGCAGAAACTAGGAATGTCAACTTAGTAATACTGACAATTTCTCTAACATTTTCAGCCCTTCATGCTGAGCCAACTATCACCATCGATCACAATGTTCAATCTAGGGAAATGTTAAGAAACAAAGAAAAAGCTGGAGAAATAGAATCTAATAAAAAGGCCCTTGGAATGTAAAGATTACACTCAATATTAAACTTCTTCTGGGCGTCTCACTCTGTCGCCGAGGCTGGAGTGCAGTGGTGCGATCTCGGCTCACTGCAACCTCTGCCTCCCAGGTTCAAGCAATTCTCCTGCCTCAGCCTCCCGAGTAGCTGGGATTACAGGCACCCAACACCACACCTGGCTAATTTTTGTATTTTTAGTAGAGATGGGGTTTCACCATGTTGGCCAGGCTGGTCTTGAACTCCTGACCTCAGGTGATCCACCGCCTCAGTCTCCCAAAGTGCTGGGATTACAGGCGTAAGCCACGGCATCCAGCAATATTAAACTTCTGAGTTGGAAAATGCTTGACATTTCCAACCATTTCCAGTATATTCTGAACCTTCCTATAGGGGGCTGCATGCTGAACTTGTTTTTAATAACTGGCTGTTGGGAGCCAGGTCTGTCTGATACATTCTTTTCTCCACTTACTTCGTGGTCTTGTGAAGAAGCCAGGCTTCGTGTTGGCCATGCAGCTGCTCTAGATAGGCCAGCTCAATTCCTTTCTCTTCCTCCCTGGCCCTCCGGAACAGTCTCTTCAAACAAACCTGAAAGACAGTCCCCAGGCCCTGATGAGCTCATTTGCTGTTTTGGCTGCTACAATGCAGTCTTAGGGGGCTCTGAGGCCCATCCATAATGTCTATCTTGGGCATTACAAGCCATACCTTTACTTCTGCTGTCTTGTTTTCTTATGCAATCAGAGGATCTACACCATTCTTTTCCCATCTCCATCTTAAACCTGCCCTTCCTCTGGAGTATCCTAAATTGGTTAATGGCAAACATCATCCATCCAGTCATCCAAGCCATGGACCTGGAATTTTCCTTGTTCTTCCTTCTCCCTACTATATCTGGAAAGTCACTCAATTCTCTTTCATCTCACTAGATGGTTCTCTCCTTGCCTGTCTTCTCACCTCTGCCCTTGTCGGGTCCTCATTACCTCTCACCTGGATTAAGGCAGAAGCCTTCTGATTTTGCCTCCCAGAGGCAGGGAAGTATATGGACAGAGTACAGGCCTTAAGGTCAGAAAGTCCAGGAGTAAATTCCTGCCTTCATCAGGTACCAGCAGTGCAATCTTTGTGGGCTTCTATTTCCTCACTGTCTACCCATCCACAGGTAACTAAGGTAAGTCGTATTGAGCTCCTGGCAAAAGCTGTTCCTTTCTTCCAGTTTGTACCCTTCACTCCACCCTTCGGTAGCACAGCAATATAATGACATGACTTTCCTTGCTGAAAATACTTCACAGGCTCTTTACCACCTACAGCCATAGTCTCAGGGTTCAAAGCAGTATGTATGAGTAGCACTGCATTTATAAAATGTTAGTTCATTTGCAATAGCTTTCATATCATACCAAACATTCACTCAGGAATAGAATGTAAAATCTGCACAGGTCAAAGATAAAACAAAGAAGTAGAAAAACAAGTGAGGCTTGAGACTAACTCTCCTCCCCCACTGCTCTGCAGAGTGTGCATAATTCTATTTTGCATTCATCTGGTAGTGAAGTTTGATGCACACTGGCTCAGAAAATGACATCTTCCTTACCTGTCACACAGAGCTACCCCTCCTACTTCTCAACTGCCTTAGCTCTTCCCCTGGACTCACTGCTTTAGCCAGATTTGACCTCTTTCCTGGGGAACAGGCCAGGTTCTTTTACATCTCAAAATTTTTGCTCCAAGTGTTTGTTTTGACTGAATTATTTTCGGGCTTCTCTCTGCTTGACAAACATTTCATTATTCAATATCATCTGTCCTGGAAGAATAGATAGATTAACCCACTGATTTAGAACTTCCCTCTTATTTTATTTTTTTGAGACAGAGTCTCGTTCTGTTGCCAGGCTGGAGTGCAGTGGCGCAATCTCAGCTTATTGCAACCTCCGCCTCCTAGGTTCAAGCGATTCTCTTGCCTCAGCCTCTTGAGTAGCTGGGACTACAGGTGGGCGCCACCACACCCAACTAATTTTTTGTATTTTTAGTAGAGATGAGGTTTCACCATGTTGGCCAGGATGGTCTCGATCTCTTGACCTCGTGATCTGCCTGCCTTGGCCTCCCAAAGTGCTGGGATTACAGGCGTGAGCCACTGTGCCCGGGCCAGGACTTCCCTCTTTCAATAACTTAAGAAATGAAAACTTAATTTCCAAATGTAGTACACAATAATCCCAAAGACTTGGGAGTCTTTGCTGTTTCTCTCTTACCTTTTCTCTAAGGAAATAAAATTATAGAAACAAATTTCATTAATGATCAAAAGGTATATGCATTTGCAATTATATACTGCCAGACTGCCTCCTTAGAGGTTAACCAATTTATTTATTCATTTTTGAGACGGAGTCTTGCTCTGTCGCCCAGGCTGGAGTGCAGTGTCCGGATCTCAGCTCACTGCAAGCTCCGCCTCCCGGGTTTACGCCATTCTCCTGCCTCAGCCTCCTGAGTAGTTGGGACTACAGGCGCTCGCCACTTCGCCCGGCTAGTTTTTTGTATTTTTTGTAGAGACGGGGTTTCACTGGGTTAGCCAGGATGGTCTCGATCTCCTGACCTCGTGATCCGCCCGTCTCGGCCTCCCAAAGTGCTGGGATTACAGGCTTGAGCCACCGCGCCCGGCCCGGTTAACCAATTTATATTCCCACCGGAAAGGTAGCTATAGGATTTCTAAGCATAGCAAAGCTATCTAATTTTCCTTTCTGAGAAAAAAAATGTCTGATTCATGAAAACAATTTTATTTTTAAATGTGGCTTTATGCTTCCAAGTACACATAGAAAGGCAGAACAATTCTTTTTAGGAAAGCTAATTATTCATTCACTGCTTGCAGACAAACACTGACACTAACATTGATCTATTAAAATAGGCTAACATATCTCTATTTACTATTAATTTCCTTAACAGAGCAAATGGATTTCCCTTAGAAGTCTAAGTCTTAACTGGTGGCAGTATTGAGGGGGAAAAAAAAAAGAAGTCAAAGCAAACTCCTACTATGAGCATTTAGCATAACACTCTTGCTTTACTGATACGGTTATAACAAATTCTATTTTTAAAAATCCCGTGCAAACAGTGCTTTAATCTGGCCCCTCTTCATCTCAGTCCTCATGAGGAAGACACACCTGCATGTGCACAGGAAAGATAGTGTAGCTACAAGTGGCAGAGGAGAGACCCTGTACTGGTCTTCTTAACCTGCCCCACCCAGGAAGAAGAACTGCTGTTCTGATTGCTTGGAGTCAGAGACAGGAAATGGAAAGTGACTGCTAGTGGGTCTTTTCACTATGCCTCTCAAGCCCAAACCCAGGTGCCATTTGTCCCCATGCACCTCCTGCATGCTATCCCCATGCTGTGCCGGTCCCAGGCAGGGCCTGGCTTTTTGATGTACACTGATCAGCTGCACTCTCTTCTTGATTCCATGGGGCTGGGTAGGAACACTGAGGCCTGGCCATTTCTCTTCTGAGTTTTAAAATTGTTAGCTTGCTTTTTTTTTTTTTTAATTTTTAGAGGTGGGGTCTCCCTATGTTGACCATGCTGCTCTTGAGCTCCTGGCCTCAAGCAATCCTCCCATCTCAGCCTCCCAAAAGTGCTGGGATTACAGGCATGAATGAGTCACCGTACCCAGCCTGACTTGCTTTTTTTTTTTTTTTTTTTAAAGTTTTATTTATTTATTTGGGACAAGGTCTTGCTTTGTGGCCTAGGCTGAAATGCAGTGGTGCAATCATGACTCACTGCAGCCTCAATCTCCCAGGCTCAAGTAATATCCCACCTCAGCCTGCTGAGTAGCTGGGAATACAGACACACCACCATGCTTGGCTAATTTTTAAATTTTTCGTAGAGGGCAGGGGGCTCTCACTATGTTACTCAGGTGGGTCTTAAACTCCTGGGCTCAAGCAGTCCTCACACCCTGGTCTCCCAGAGTGCTGGCATTGCAGGCGTGAGCCACTGCACCTGCCTGGTCCGGTCTGGCCTAGCTTGCTTGCTTTTAAGAAGTTAGGGGGCCGGGCGCGGTGGCTCACGCCTGTAATCCCAGTACTTTGGGAGGCCGAGGCGGATGGATTACGAGGTCAGGAGATTGAGACCATCCTGGCTAACACGGTGAAACCCCGTCTCTACTACAAATACACAAAATTAGTTGGGCGTGGTGGCGGGCGCCTGTAGTCCTAGCTACTTGGGAGGCTGAGGCAGGAGAATGGCGTGAACCCAGGAAGGGGAGCTTGCAGTGAGCCGAGATCGTGCCACTGCACTCCAGCCTGGGCGACAGAGCAAGACTCCATCTCAGAAAAAAAGAAGATAGGGAAGAATAGGTAGAAAGGAGCAGAAGGACCTACGGAGTCCATTTGACATGCTCGAAACTCAGTATTTACTAGGGCTCTGAACTAGAAGATTGGGCACCTGCACAGTTTTTTACATAGTGACATGTCAACTTGTATTCTGTTCTTCCCTTGGGCACAGTTACCTCTGAACTTCACAGAAGAGGTCAAGTGTGACTTCAGGGAAGAAATATAGGCATTCCTGCATCTCTAGAACTAATGCCATCAAAACAGCATTAAAATCCCCATCTAATCTCGAAATGGATAAGTTATTTTTCTTTTCTGCCATTAAGTTGCAATAATTCTTCAACTCTTCTCATTCTACTCCAGCTGAAATATTTCAATTAGCCTCTCCAAAAAGGCAGATCTGCCCCCAAGTGACGACGACGATGATGATGATGAGCATCATCATCATCATTACAAAGTGCTGGGATTACAGGCGCGATCATCATCATCATCATCATCACCATTTGCTATGGTTTGAGTGTATCCCCCAGAATTCATGTGTTGGAAATTTGGTCCTTAGTGTGGTAGTGTTGACAGGTGGGGCCTTTAAGAGGTGATTAGGTTGTTAAGACAGATTAATGCCACTCTCTTGGGACTGGGTTAATTCTCGCCAGAGTGAGTTCTCACTCTTGTGGGACTGGACCAGCTGCCATAAGAGCAGGATGTTATAAAGCAAGGCTGCTCCTCCCGTCTTGCCCCTTTTGCACATGCCTGTTCCCTTCCACCTCATCACGTGATGAGGTAGCAGGAGGTCCTCACTGGAAGTTAAGGCTGCACAATTTGGACTTCCCAGTCTCCATAACTGTGAGCCAAAATAAGCCTCTTTATAAATTAACCAGTTTCAGGCATTCTATTACAAGGTCATTCAGAGTGCACAAAGAAGAAAAGCAATTAAGACTTTCTTGTTCTCCCTGCTGGGTCCAACTTCCACTCCCCAGAAACAAGAGCCTCTTCAGCTGGCCCAAGTAGCCCCATTTTACTCCCAGGAATGAGTCACTCCACTTCCTCTCTCACTCCTCCCCAGTGCTGGCTTCAAGGCACTGAGCTGATTGTGCTGAAGTTCTGTTCTCTTGGAAAAGGTTAAGTCAGCATTCTCACTTCTCCTAATGCTCAGCTCCTCAACCTCCTGCTTCTTTCAGTCCAGCCATCCCAAGACTCCCATAGGAAACCTGTCACCTCTTCAAATTCCAACCAGGATCTTGACTCAGTCCAACCTCACAGCACTCTCACTCCTCTTTGGCCCAGGCCACAAACCTTCCTGGGGCTCAGGACTTCTCTCTCAACATGAACCCTACACTTTGACACTTCAAACTGCCCTCTCTGAGAGGGGACTCGTTTCCCCATAATCGCTGACACTAATCTCTACCCCTAAAGTATAATCCCCTTCTTCTACTCCGGTTCTCAGGCAATGAAGACTACTGAAAGAAGTCACATAAACATGACCCACCTGGTCAACTTGCAATCAATGCATCTAACTTTAGTGTGCTTCTTTCCATGGAAGGTTATTAGCCCTCTGGCCTCACTGAATCTTTAGTTCAGTTTTATTTTATTTTAGAAACAAGTTCTTACTCTGTCACCTGGGCTGGAGCATAGTGGCACGATCACAGCTCACTGTAGCCTCGAGCTCCTGGACTTAGGTGACCCTCCTGTCTCACCTCCCCAATAGCTAAAACCACAGGCACACATAACCACACTCGGCTAATTTTTAAACTTTTTTGTAGAGATGGACTCACACTATATTGCCTAGGCTGGTCTTGAACTCCTGGTCTTAAGTGATCCTCCCATACCAGCCTCCCAACATACTGGGATGGTAAGCGTGAGCCACTGCACCCAGCCCAGTTTCATTTTAAACTTTAACCCTTATTTCTGTAGAATCTCTTATTCCCTCCTATGATCTAGCTTTTGCCTCAAAATGTCCAAAAACTCTCAACACAAAGATCCCCAATATCTGGTCCCAGTCACATTCAAGGGCCTCTTTTTTCCTGGTTGCCACCTTAAGGCAAGACCCTTCTTTCCAGTCCTCTCCTCGTTGGCTGGGGTGAGGCTCTGTGATGGGAGCTCTCCCACTCATCCTCTGGTTCTGCTCAGTCTGTTCTCAGGCTCCTTTCTGCCCACAAGTCTCAGTTCCATCTCTAAAAAGCACAGCCTCTAGCTTGGAGACAGCTTTCCTTCCTTCTAACAGTATGTGGTCTATCTGGCATTTGACTATATATTGGATGTATGTCTCAAAAGCTGAGAGCGATGTATCTCTGAAAAAAAAAAAAACCTCTCACCTTGACTCAGAATCCCACTCCAGAAGAGCCCTTAGAGATCATCTAGATCGAGCCAGTGGATTTTACAGGCAAGGATCTCTCCAGTGGAATGGTCTCCAGGGGCTGCCCAAGGTCACTCCAGTCACCAGAAGCCACAGCTCACTTCAGCCTCCAGAGACTCTGGTGCTCCTGCCATGACATCATCCTACTGCATGCAGGATGGCACCAGCCTGAGAGTCACAGAATGGAACTACTATAGTCCATCTTGCCTTCCCAATGGCATCAGGGTTCAAAAAAGGGCCATAAATTAGGGCAGTATCATGATGAGGTGAGAAAACTCTCCTCCTCTTCCTCCTCACATCTTACTCAGGAAACTATCAAGACTACACACTCTGATGACCCAGTCAGAGTGAAGGAGGAGCTGAGGCAAGTGGCTACAGGTCAGAGCGTCCCACCTGCAAACCCTAAGTGATAAAGATGATGCTCGATTTGCTCTGTTGTTGCTACATCAACAGCGATCCTTTTATGCACAGTCAATGGCTTTAGCACTCTGCTACACGAAGCCAGCGGGGAACAGGGTGCTCAACGCTGGGACAGGAGGGTGTCCCCCACTGCTCTCCGTGCTGCAGGTAATGTCTACGCTCTAATTTCTCCAACCAGAAAATCAGGGGCTTGGAGAATGTTACTTCTTAGGTTTCATATGACCCTAAAGTCTAAGGTTTTAGGTTCGGTGTTACCTGGGGAGAAGCCTGGAGGTAGATGAAGCCATGTAATGTGAGCCGGCTGGCAAACTCCCACAGGAGAAAAGAATGCCAGTCCTGATAGATATGCCACTCGATGTCACTGAGGGAACCATTTTCAAAAAGATTCTTTGCAAAGATATACCTGGTTGGAAGTGGGATGGGAATGGGGAGGGGAGGAGAATGGGAAATGGAATGAAAGGCACCAGAGAGAGAGAGAGAAGCAGAAAAATCAATAACCAACTTGTTCCATGTCTGTTCAAACCACTTAACCTTTCGAGCTCCTCATCAATCCTTAAGAAATCTGAATTCTTTGAACCTCCTCGATAGTCTCTTTAGCCCTCATCCTCCCTCCGCCTGCCAGCTCCATAGTAACTAGAGGATGGGAAATAGGATCTAGACTTCGGAGGCTGAAATCACACCTTTCCAGATGGATTGATTCACTGGAAGAAAAGGGACAGAAGATAGTATCATTGGTCCCTAACAATTTTCTCTGCTAGAAATCAGTCAGAACATACAGCAAATATATGTAAACTTGAACTTTTGAGATTTCCTTATTATTATTATAGCAAGGCCCAAAACAAATAAACAAGTGAATCCAGTGTAAATCCACCCACTCAATTTCATACAAGGACTGAGGACTTCTGACTCTCCAGGGTACTGAGCCATCCTTTTGTCTAGCTGAGACATGCAGAACAAACAGTTTTTATGTGGTGTCCTCTATGGAGCAGAAAATGCATTTCCCACTAATTTCAGTATTACCAAGAAAGCAGACTCTCCTGCAAAGTGCATATGAGCTCTTGCTTGCTTGCTTCCTCTGCTGCTGAGTTTCTAGTTCAGGTAAAAGAAAGCTAAAGCTAATAATCAAACCAGCTTTGCCCCCTGCTTATTTCTACAACCAAAAGAGCATCTGGTAAACAGGAAATCAGAGCTAAATACAAACCATGGCTTCAGACAAACCAGGGATCAATTCTGCTTTCAAACCTCAGGCATTTTAATACAAAACACAATTTGCATCCTAAACAAGGTACTCCAGTTTTCAAGGTAATGCTCAGCAAATGGCCACTTCAGCAACTGGCCACCTCGGAGAAAATAAAATTCAGAACCCTTGTATATGATGGCTCAGGAAAGTGCAGACTGCAAGGCTGTGAGTGTCACCATTAAGGGAATACCTCAGAATAACATTCCAGGGTCTGATCCTGGCTGAAACATTCACTAGCTATGTAACCTCAGGCAAGTCACCTAAATCCTCTCAGCCCGTTATGATGATGTCTTGTAATAATCCTCATAAAGTGCTTAGAATAGTGACTGGCACATGGTATTCTAGATATCTTAGTTATTATTATAACTGCTTTTTGTTAGGCTATGAAGAAGCTAACTTAGAAACTCCAAAAGTAAACTTTCCCAGTCTGGAATGGTTTAGCCATAGTCTAGTTGATGAGAACAAAGAAAAGGGTAACATTTTAAACTCAAAATATTTTTGAGTTCTCCACAGATAACTAGAAGATGAAATTAAGATCCTATAAAGTGGCCATGCACTGTGGCTCGCACCTGTAATCCCAGCACTTTTGGAGGCTGAGGCGGGCGGATCACCTGAGGCCAGGAGTTTGAGACCAGCCTGGCCAACATGGTGAAACCCCGTCTCTACTAAAAACACAAAAATTAGCCAGTCATGATGGCGTGTCCCTGTAATCCCAGCTACTCAGGAGACTGAGGCACGAGAATTGCTTGAACCCAGGAAGCGGAGGTTGTAGTGAGCTGAGATTATACCACTGCATTCCAGCCTGGGTGACAGAATGAGACTCTGTCTTAAAACAAAACAAAAAGGATCCTAAAAAGAGAAATTAAAGATTTGCTAATAAGCCCTATGAAAGGGGTTCTTGGCTTTCTTGAGAAAGAGCACTTCCTTTATTTCTTCAAAGCTCTTGGTGGTGATGGGGTGAGGGGTAGAAGGGTGTGGTGCTGAGTGGGAGGGAAGTACTGCAGACTGAATGCAGGGGCTGTAGGACAGAACAGGGCATAAGGATCTAGGAGTCAGGGTCTCTGCTCCAAAATCATATGCTAATGTTTCCTTTAACTCAAACAGAAAAGACTAAGATTTCCTCCTCCCTATAATCAACTCTCCCAGATAACCTGTGTTCCTCCTTTGGAACAAATACCACACACGTGAGCATGTGTTCAGTCTCTGTTAGGCAGGGACTGGGTCTGCCTTATTCACTGTTGCAGCCCCAGGGCCAGCCTTGGTGCTTCAACACGGGAGGCATCCAATAAATCTGTGCGAGTGAAGAAAGTCTAAATTACCCTCAGGATTGGAACTTGTAATTAGTTTTCCTTTCTGTCTCAAAAATGCCCTCAGTGAAGATAGCACCTGGAATGTTGTATGCCCACAGTGTAATCAATTCTTACCTCTTCCTTTACAAGCAAAGGTTAAGATCCATGTAGCTTCTTAATGCATTTCTAATTAACAAAGTGTTTCTACTTCTCTATTTTCCTCTGAGGGTCTCACATGCCTACTTCATGAAGGGACTAGAAATAAAGACTATGTTTCCAAGCAACCCATGTGGTTATATGTAATTCAACTTCTGAGTCCGAGAGGCATGGCTTGGGAGAAAAGAGAGGAAAACAGGCACGTGGCATACCCAACAGCTGAAAAAGAAGTAAAACCTATAGCCCAGCCATATGTAATTCACATATTTAGCTTTTATAAAAAGTAGGCTCTCTCGGGGTACGTAAAGAAGGAATGGATAGCCTATAGAGTTTGTTTTATATATCTTCCAAGATTTTAGGGTAAAGTCAGAAAAATCACTTGTCGTTTACAAAAGTACCCTTATTTTTTTCTTCTAGGAGGCTTTCTGGAAGCACTAAGAAATAGAACTAGTTTGTCTAATTCGGAATTAAAAGAGTAACCAACTGAGCGTCTTCAGCAGTGACAATGAAAATGTACCACTTTCCATTTTGGTAATTCAAAGAGCCTTAAGAAAGATCATTTTGCTTGAAAGCACCATTTCACACTGACACTGGTCATTCATAGGCTTCAGATAAGAAAAACCCCAGCAGTGTCCAGATCAAGCCATCCTGACTTTGTCTCTAGGCGGCTTAACCTCAAGTCACAGCCTGGTCTCTGCGGCAGAGCCAGGCATTCTGGAGCCTGCACGGCCTAGCTCTTGTGGAGCAGATGGGCTCACTTCCCAGGCTGCTGCTAGCCTGCATTAAAAGTGACTTCACATCTCACTCCCTCAGGTGGTCAGGATGATGCCCATCCCTGATCTGACACAGGCACTGATGTCCACTAGACTCTGGCCAGCAAGAAGCCCTCTCACAGCAGAAGGGGTCAAAAAGGGCTAAATCTGAGACAGAAGCCAGTTTCACAAAATGTGCTATTTCTGCCTAAGCATCCTTTCTTGAAGAATAAAAAAAAGGCTGAAAATATCTCTTATATCATTTTTAGGAACACAAATTTTAATTTTGTCTGCTTTTTTTTTAAAGGGGATAACCAACCACTGAATCATTTGATTTCTTAGCATATACACTGCTACTTCAGTGTCTATTCTGTGCCTTTTAGCATGTGATGGTTACAATAGGTGGCTACCAGCTCGCTCCATGCCAGAAAAGAAGGAAACATAAGATAATCAGTAGCAATGTAAGAAATTCAAAGCATTCAGTTGATGAAAAACACAATTTCCTTTCTTGACATAGATGACAATTTGGTACAAGTACAATTCTGGACAAATCTGTATAGTGTTGTCTTTAAAAAAGAAGACAATTTTTCAAAGTATAATTATCAGTGACCAGAGCAGTGCAGGATCTGTGCAAGATCAAACAGGCAGCACTGAGCATGGGGCTTGTGACTAGTGGAGGGCTTGGCATTTTACCTGTCACTGTACACAGACCTCTCAAAGATCTGTACTGGCTTCCTGGCCTGTAAGAGTTTCTCAGGGAAGGGCTCCAGCTGTACTTTCAGGCGGCTCAAAAAGGAAAATGTCTGGAATGTGTAGGACCATCGTGCTGGCTCCCGGTACATCATATCCAGCAAGTTTCCAAGACTTTGGGCAGTGCAGGCCTAGAGGGAGATGAAAAAAAAAAGAGAATTTCCTAGAAAGCGTATTTACTCCATGGAGTACACCCCTCCACATACACCCCTACCTCCCCAAACAGGTTTAATAATCAACGAAACAAGGAATTATAAAACTTTTCTTCCACCAAAAAGGTAGAATCAGATCCCCAGTTTAGTCAAAATTTCATAATCAGGGATGAGATTTTCCTACCTATTAAACAAGACTCTCTAAAGGGAGATGACATGCCACTTCAATAGAGCAAAAGCAGAGGAAGAACCATATACAGAATTAACATGATCACTGATTGGGGGATTTGTGAAGTCTGTCTAGGGAGGAGTTAACAGTCAACAACCATCTAAAATTTAACTTTGAATCAAATCTTTCCACTATAACACTATGTTGCCTCTCTTTTGAGTTCCATCTGTAGCTATTTGTTTATAAAATGTCAAGGCAAACCAGAAAGCAACTGCTTATTTGAAAATCCAACCAATCAACCACCAAATAGAATTCTGTATCTTTCATAAAAGGACTACAATTTGTTTGTTAAAACAAATAAAAACAAAACCCTACTTAATTCTAGAGACTTTATGAAACATAATTAAAACATTTCACTTGCTCAGCATGTGCAAGTGGGCACAAGTGTGGGATGTTCAGCAGCCCCGGATTCTTTTTTTTTTTTTTTTTGAGACAGAGTCTCGCTCTGCCACCCAGGCTGCAGTGCAGTGGCGCAATCTCAGCTCACTGCAACCTCCCAGCTCGCTGCAACCTCCCGGCTCACTGCAATCTCCGCCCCCGTCCCCATCCCAGCCGAGTTCAAGTGATTCTCCTACCTCAGCCTCCTGAGTGGCTGGGATCACAAGCGCCCGCCACCATGACAAGCTAATTTTTGTAGTTTTAGTAGAGACGGGGTTTCACCATGTTGGCCAGGCTGGTCTCAAACTCCTGACATCAGGTGATCCACCCGTTTTGCCCTCCCAAAGTGCTGGAATTACAGGCATGAGCCACCATGCCCGACCCCAGATTCTTTTCTGGATCTGCCATTGACTCAACAATGCAAAAGTGAGTTTTGTACAAAAGCACTTTGGAGCTGTATTTTTCATTCAATCGCCATTAACTGAAGGCCTGTGTGGATGACACGCTACATGGACAGGGTACCGTAAGGGTAGAGAAAAGGAATTAACATTTATTTTAACCTTTACTGTGGTATGTTATCTCATTTAATCTTCAAAACGGCTTCATGAGGTAGGTACTGCTGTAATGCCCCTTTTCCAGAGGGGAAAATCCACTCAGAGGTGAAGTAACTTACTTGTGCAAGGTTTCATGGTGAATAAATGTTGAAGGGATTCAAACCTGGCTTCCTCTAACCTCGTCATTCCAACACCCTCCATCTAAAGGTGAACAAGACAGTTCTTTTTTTTTTTTTTTTTTTGGAGATGGAGTCTTGCTCTGTCGCCCAGGCTGGAGTGCAGTGGCCAGATCTCAGCTCACTGCAAGCTCCGCCTCCCGGGTTCACGCCATTCTCCTGCCTCAGCCTCCCGAGTAGCTGGGACTACAGGCGCCCGCCACCTCGCCCGGCTAGTTTTTTTTTTTTTGTATTTTTTTAGAGACGGGGTTTCACCATGTTAGCCAGGATGGTCTCGATCTCCTGACCTCGTGATCCACCCGTCTCGGCCTCCCAAAGTGCTGGGATTACAGGCTTGAGCCACCGCGCCCGGCCCAAGACAGTTCTTGAACTCAAAGAGCTCACAATGCAAAAAGGAAGAGGGTGATGAGGATATACAAAGCTGGAATGTAAGGCAGAACATGTGATGAAGGGATGATTACTGATGGTGGAAGGAATCTCAGGGAGTTTCTGAAAGAAAGTGGCATTAAGCTGGGAAGTAACTGATGAGTAGAATTCTCACAGATGGAAATGGAGATTAAAAAGACTGCACTTCAGGTAGAGACAACAGTACAGGAGGAGAAAAAAGATTAAACAACAGTAAGTAGTCCAATTTGGCTAAAAAGCACTCTTAGATTCTGAAGAAGGGCCCTAGCCCTTTGAAAGGCTTCAGCAAGAGCAACACATATAGAGCAGAGTGGACCAGAAAAACATTTAACTTGGAAGTATTTTTGGGATTTCCCTCCTTCTGACCCCACAAGCCCACACATACTAGCCTCACACATGGCTCCTGACTAAGAGTTGGGGTAGAAGTAGGAGGACAAATTTGAGTCTCCTAGAGTCTCTGTGGTATCACTAGAGATGGTAGGGAGCAGCCATGGGCCTGCAGCACAATTCACACACTGTATGTAGAAACAGGAGAAAACAAAAGATACTGCCTTGCTGATAAAACAAGAATAGGCTGTCATAAAAAAGGAGGAATAAGAAAAGAACTTTCTTAGAGTTGAAAAATGCAATTGCCAAAGTAAAACACCCAATGAAGATAATGAAGATGGTAACTAGCAGACTATATAATGCAGTAAACCTAATTAGTGAATTAGAAGATCCTTACAGAGTATCACTTTAAGGGCTAGGTATGGGGGCTCACACCTGTAATCCCAGCACTTTGGGGGGCCAAGGCAGGAGGACCGCTTGAGGCCAAGAGTTCAAGACCAACTTGGGCAACATAGCGAGACTGTCTGTACAAAAAAAATTTTTTAATTACCTGGGCATAGTGGTGCATGCCCGTAGTCCCAGCTATTCTGCAGGCTGAGGTGGAAGGATTTGCTTGAGCCCAGGAGTTCAATGCTGCAGTGAGCTATACACTTGATCTTAGCCAAAAGGCTGAGAAGCGATGGTGCAGTGAGCTATAATAGGGCCACTGCATTCCAGCCTGGGTGACAAAGTAAGACTCTTTAAAAAAAGAGAAAAGAGTATCAGCTTAAGAAATTCCCCCTAGGGGCCAGACATGGTGGCTCATGCCTGTAATCCCAGCACTTTGGGAGGCCAAAGCAGGCAAATCGCCTGAGGTCAGGGGTTCGAGATCAGTCTGGCCAACATGGTGAAAGCCTGTCACTACTAAAAATACAAAATTAGCCGGGCATGGTGGCGAATGCCTGTAATCCCAGCTACTTGGGAGGCTGAGGCAGGAGAATCGCCTGAACCCGGGAGGTGGAGGTTGCAATGAGCCGAGATCGCACCATTGCACTCCAGCCTGGGCAACAGGAGCGAAAACTCCATCTAAAAAAAACCCAAAAAAAACAAAAAACCCCATGAATAACTGAGGCAGAAAACAGTTGTCCAATAATGATTCCCCTCAAACAGCACTGAATCCATATAATCTTAAGGATGATTTTTTTTTTTTTTTTTTTTTTTGACATCCTCCCATGGATCAGTCATCCCACTGCAAGCCCCCCCCCCCCCCCCCCCCCCCCCCCCCCCCCCCCCCCCCCCCCCCCCCCCCCCCCCCCCCATATAATCTTAAGGATGATTTCTATCATACCTTCAAGGAATAGATCATTCCCATGCTATAAAAGAAGAAAAATTTCTCCATTTATTTTCATAACATTGATGGTAAAACCTGTCACAAACTACACATGGGCCAGGCATCACAGCTCACACCTGTGGTCCCAACACCTTGGGAATCTGAGGTGGAAAGATTGCTTGAGTCCCCAGGAGTTCGAGACCAGCCTGGGCAGCAAAGTGAGACCCTATCTCTACAAAAAAAAATTTTTTTTAAGTAGACGGGGACAGTGGTATGCACCTATAGTCCCAACTACTCAAGAGACTGAGGTAGGAAGATACCTGAGTCCAGGACTTCAAGGCTGCAGTGAGCTATGATCATGCCACTGCACTCCAGCCTGGGTGACAGAGGGAGACCCTGCCTAAAAAGAACCCAAAAGACAAAACAAACAAAAATCACCATACACACAAATAATAATACCAACCAACTGTATAAATAAATATACATGCAAAATTCCAAACAACACATTACCAAATTAATGGAATAGTACATCATGACAAAAAAAAAAGTTCATTCTAGAAATGTGAGGATGGTACCATTATTAAATCTATGACTAATACTAAGAGATTAAAAAAGAAAAACCTTGGCCGGGCACGGTGGCTCAAGCCTGTAATCCCAGCACTTTGGGAGGCCGAGACGGGCGGATCATGAGGTCAGGAGATCGAGACCATCCTGGCTAACCCAGTGAAACCCCGTCTCTACTAAAAAATGCAAAAAAACTAGCTGGGCGAGGTGGCGGGTGCCTGTAGTCCCAGCTACTTGGGAGGCTGAGGAAGGAGAATGGTGGGAACCTGGGAGGCGGAGCTTGCAGTGAGCTGAGATCTGGCCACTGCACTCCAGCCTGGGTAACAGAGCGAGACTCCATCTCAAAAAAAAAAAAAAAAAAAAAAAAAAAAAGAAAAACCCCATGTTTATCTCACTAGATGCTAGAGGTTGCTGATGGAAATTCAACATTTCATCATGATAAAAACAGTTACTATTCTAGTAATAGAAGGGTATGTCTACCACATGGTCTATTGAAATGAATAATAAACACCAAACTTAACACTGATATATTAGAGGCAGTTTCATTAATGACAGAACAAGATAAGGAAACTACCCTCACTGCTATTAGTTTATATGGCTCTAGAAGTTCTACCCAATGAAAGAGAACAAGAAAATAGAAATGTGGTACAGATATCAGAAAACTCTTCCAAATGATTACTATTTTAGAGACAACTATTATTTTCTAAAACTCCAAATAAAAAAATAATAATATGAGAAATTAGATCATATAAGATAAATATAACGATCAACTGTTTTCCATTAAAACAGCAATAACCAGTTTCAGAAGATGACATGGAAAAAAGATCTCAGTCACAATAAAAACAAAATATATGTTCTGCTCAAGAATAAACAAGAATACTACTGGATAAGTAGATAACCATTTGTGAAAAAATTAAAGTCCTATAACTTGTAACGTCACATAAAACATAAAACCACAAAAGCAACAAAAAGAAATAAAGATATTTTCATACTCTTGGGCTACAATCTTAACATCAAAGGTGCTAACTATGAGGAAAAAAGGACAGGTTAGACTACATAAAAACTGAAATGTATAACATTGTAAAAATATATTATATACTAAGATAAAAGAAAAATGACATGGCCGGACACAGTGGCTCACGTCTGTAATCTCAGCACTTTGGGAGGCCGAGTCAGGCGGATCACCTGAGGTCAGGAGTTCGAGACCAGCCTGGCCAACATGGTGAAACCCCATTTCTACTAAATATACAATAATTAGTTGGGTGTGGTGGCAGGCACCTGTAATCGCAGCTACTCAGGAGGCTGAGGCAGGGAGAACTGCTTGTACTTGGGAGGTGGAGGTTGCAGTGAGCAGAGATCACACCACCACACTCCAGCCTGGGACACAGGGCAAGACCCCATCTCAAAAAAAAAAAAAAAAAAAGAAAAATGACAAACAAATATATGAGAATTAATATACTTAACATACAATGAGTTTTTATGAAGCCATTACACAAAGATGAAGATTTCAATAGAAAAAAACAAGGCAAGGGGTTTGGACAGGCAATTCATTGAAGAATAAAAAGATAAACAAAACATGGTAAAAAACAAACAGTAAAGCTACAATGATACTCATCATTGCAACATTGTTTATAATAGGAAGAAATTAGAAAACTATTCAAAATAGAGGACTGGATAACTAAATAATAATATTCATATTATGCAGTACACTACAACCATTAAAATTACATCACTGTGAAAGGAAGATCTTGTCTATTAAGTGACATACAGGTGGCAATCACAATTTTTGTTTCAAAAAGCAAATGTTTATATATTTTATACATTTATGCAAGTGCATGTAAATCTATACATTTTCTCTGTAGAAAAATGTCCATTTTACCTCTGAATAATGGGATTACAGGATGATTAGTTATCTATTGCTGCCTAACAAATTATGCCAAATTCAGTGGCTTAAACAAAAACGTTCATTATCTCAGTTTCTATGAGGCGAGAATTTGGGAAGGAGCTTAGCTGGGTGGCTGGGACTCAGGGTTTCTCATGAAGTTTCAGTCAAGCTGTTGGCTGAGGCTACAGTTGTCCTGAAGGCTGGACTGTGGCTGAAGGATACAATTTTAAAAAGACTCACATACCTGTTCACAGGTGGCCTCAGTTCCTTCCGTGTGGGCCCCTTGAAAAGGCTGCTTCCTGACACGGCAGCTGGCTTCCCCCAGAACAAGATGGAAGCTACCCTGTCTCTTATGACCTACCCTGGAAAGGTATTTCTTATTTTTGCTACTTTCTATTTACTGGAAACAAATCACAAAGTCCAGCCACGTTCAAGGCAAGAATTAACGCTCTACTTCTTGAAGGGAGGAATACCAAACAATTGTGGACATGCAGTCATGTATCCCTTAACAACAGGAATATGTTCTGAGAAATGTGTCATTGGACAATTCTGTCACTGTGTGACCATCAGAGAATGTACTCACACAAACCTAGATGGGATAGCCTGTCACACACTTAGGCTTTAAGGTATACCCTACTGCTCCTAGGCTACAAAGCTGTGTCACATGCTACTGTATTGAATACTGCAGGCAATTATAATACAATGGTATTTTGATCTAAACATAGAAAAGATACAGTAAAAATATGTTGTTATAATCTTACAGGACCACCATTGTACACATTGACAGAAACATCATTATGTGGCCCACGACTGTATTTTGAAATCTCAACAGGTGACCTGTGGCATACTCAGAAAAAGATATAATTTATTCCTGCATAGGAAAGTTAATTTCACAAATACACACACAGGCACACATACAAACGTATAAAGAAACAACTTAAGAAGCAAAAATCCTCAATAGCCATGATATGCCAGCCACAAAAGCTAACACAATTCTGGGTTGGAATACAAAAAAATGGCACCCAGAACAAGTTCCATGATACTCTGGTCCCACTTAGACTACATCCAGAATGTCCTGTTCACCTCCAAGTAGCAGTCTTAGTAAATTCAAAGTGGAAAGTGAACAAACTAGGACTCATCACTTAGGTAAAGTTACTTCAGAGTAAAGAATAGCCTGGAGGAAAATCGGAGGTGTTTGGCTTGAAAGAGAGAAGACTTGACCAGGCATGGTAACTCATGCCTATAATCTCAGCACTTTGGGGGCCAAGGTGGGTGGATCGCTTGAGCCCAGGAGTTTGAGACCAGCCTGGCCAACATGGCGAAACCCTGTCTCTACTAAAGATACAAAAATTATCCTAGCATGGTGGCATGCACCCATTAGTCCCAGCTCTCAGGAAGCTGAGGCATGAGAATCGCTTGAACCCAGGAGGTGGAGGTTACAGTGGGCTGAGATCACACCATTGCACCCCAGCCTGGGTGACAGAATGAGACTGTCAAAAAAAAAAAAAAAAAAAAAGGAAAGAGACTTGAGGGGGAGAAGGAACAGGAAAATCATCACCTTCAACTATATATAGGGTTGTTACGGGGAAAAGTTAAAAGACTTAGGGGGTAGAACTTGAACCAATGAGTCAGAGTCACAGGGGTGCAATGTGGCTCATTAAAAGGCAGAATTGTTTAGCAATTAAGAGTTAAGAACCGGAATGTGCCACTCAGTGAATATTCCAGGTGGCGGCAAGAGGAGTTCATGGTGCCTGAGGAGGCATGGTGCTTCTGCTCCCTCTGAGGGTCATGTCCAAACAGGTCCTTCCTTACTCACACTGATGTGGCTGGAAACCAACCCTACGGCCTCTGCCAAAGCCATAGTCTTCACACCACGGCCTAAGCCATGAGGTATAAGTGAAATGTACTTATACCTCATAGTACAGTGCCTGGCACATAGTACGTGCTCATAAATGTTAGCTGTTACCTCTCCAATTGACTCAAAGTGTGACTGGAACCTCTCTAACAACCCTTCCAATTTCTAAGACTTTATTTAAAAAGTTAAAATCACTATAATTAGCTATTAATCCTAGTGGTTAGCTTCAGTAATAATATAAATACTTAAGTGTAGGAATGACAAAATTCATCTTCAAAGTCATCCATGATGGTTGGACATGCTTTGGGAAACCACAAACAACAGAGGCAGTCACTTAGATAGACATATAAAAACCACAAAAATCAAAACTACACATATTCAAACAAGTCATATCCTTTCTGGTGTATGTGGTCTGCTTTCTGGAATGAAGCTATTTTAAAAAGGATACTCAAACTGGGCTACTTTACCCACGCAGAGTAAATTAAATTACGACAATTAGATTATTCACCCATGCCTGCCAACTACCCACCACAACTAAAAACTTACTTTTTGGGTGCCAGCAGCCTGGATATCCTGCCATGTTGCTACAGGTTCTGTAGCGACGTGCCATTCTGGGTAAGTTTTAGCGAGTAACTTCACAAACGTGGACTTTCCCACAGCTGCAATGCAAACAGCATGTATTGGGATGCTTCCCAAATCAGGGCTGAAGGAGAAGGCTGCTACTAAACTCCGCCACAAACGCCCAACTCAAGGGAACAAGTATCAGTTTTCTGAATTTCAAACTCAGCAGCCATACCATTGTTAGACTGATAACAGATCAATCCATGCCAACCAGAGCCGCTATAATGAATACAGCCAATAGGGAGGAAAAATTCCTTCAAGATTTAATTTGCAATTTCCATGTCTCAACCTTCCAGAGGCAGAGCATTTAATAACAGTTGAAAATGTAAAAGTAGATGAAATCAGTTCTGTAAGTTCTATCACTTGAGTCACCATTCTATTTGTGCTGTGACAGTGTAAAATTTCTTAGTTTTTCAAGATAAAAAATAAAAATGATTATAATCTCATTCATTCAACAAATCTAAAAAATATTCATGGAGTGCTGACTATGTGCTCAGGACTGTCAGGCACTGTGGGTACAATGGCAAACAAAACACAGAATGGATTTTGCCCTCACAGAGCTTGTATGGGTGACAGATAGTAGACAAATACAAAATTAACTACTAACAAACTGTGTTAGGTGCTAGGAAAAAATGCAGGATGGCACTAATATAGCCCAGGAGGTCAAAGAAGACTCCTTTGAAAAAATGAAAAGATGACAATTCATGCAAAGGGAGTAGCATGCACAAAGACCTGAAAGAGAGAAAGAAGTTGACATACAATACAGAAGTTTGAGGCCCTAGAAGAAGCCATACAGTATGGCTACAGCATGAGTAAGTGATGGAGAAGTGTCTCAAAATGGGTGTAGCCACACAGAGAGGGAGTCCAGGGCCAGGTCACACAGGACTCTGTAGTCATGGTAAGAAGACTGAATTCTATTCTAAGGGCAATGGGAAGTTAGTGAGGATTGGTTTTAAGTAGGAAAATTATAAGACTCCTTCTCATTTTTAAAAGATCACTCCACCAGCTACGTAAGAATGGGATGAAGCAGAAGCAAGCAGGCTAGTTAAAAGATATAGCAGCTTGCCCCTGGGTGATAGCAGAGGAGTGAAAAGTGGTGGTTGTTTCGAGAAATATTTTGGAGATGGAATCAACCTAGTAACAGAACATTCAAGTTATCTTTTCCCATTTATACCAATGTTTGGCCCATACCTCCCTGAGCTCCAGAGACTCTATTCAAGAACCCTCCAGACATCTCCACTTGGGACATTCCACAAACACCTCAAAGTCAACATATTTCCTAAATGAACTAATCATCTTTCCCACCAAACTGAGCTTCCTCCTGTATCCCAGACCTCAGGGTATGAACACACCATCCACTCACTGACAGAAGTCCCTCCTCTGCCAAACCTCGGTGGCCACTAAATCCTTCTGCATTTGCTTCTAAATTTTTCATATTTGTCTTTTTCTCTCTATTCCCACCTCCATGCTCAAGACCAGCCTCTTATCATCTCTTGCCTTTCTGATGCTGGCCTTGCTCTCTTCAATCCATGCTCCGTACTGTGGCCAGACTGAACATGAAATAACACTGCTTACAATCTTTTGACAACTCCCTATTGGCTACAGCAAGGGCAAGCGACGGAGGAGTGGCTCAAGATGGACGTGGCCACATGGGCAGTCCAGGGCCAGGTCACATAGGGCCTTGTGGCCATGGTAAGAGGGCTGAATTCTATTCTAAGGGCAATGGGAAGTTAGTGACATCTGAGCTAAGACCTGAACAAGCTTCATGACAAACTCCAAACTCTTTAACATGGTCTGCAAGACACAACAAGATCTGATCCCTGTGTATGCCTCTCTGGCCTCGGCTTTCCTTTAGGGAGCCTACACTCCTGCAGGACCAAACTCCAATCATGCCATGTTCTCTTGCAAATATGACTTTGCATATGCTTTCCCATTTCCCGAAGCGCCTCCTCTCCTCTCCTCACCTGACCAACGCCTACTCAATCCTCAAGGTTCTGTTTAGATGTACCTCCTGTGTGAAGCCTTCCCAGATCCTGATACCTCTGAGCTGGATTAGCTAGTCCTCCTTTGTGCTTGGCTTGGTATTCTGGGTGAGACTCCATCACTGCACCTGTCATTGTGTTTCTCCAGCTAGAGAATGGGGCTCCTCCAGGGTAGAAAACAAACTGCAACCTAATGACCTGGCCAAATGAATAAAATACACAGTATATTACTAATTTCAGTTCTCTCTGAAACCTATATTTGTGAAAAATAAAAAATGAATCTTAAGACTGTATCTGGGCCGGGCACGGTGGCTCACGCCTGTAATCCCAGCACTTTGGGAGGCCGAGGCGGGCAGATCACAAGGTCAGGAGATCGAGACCACGGTGAAACCCCGTCTCTATTAAAAATACAAAAAATTAGCCGGGCACAGTGGCGGGCGCCTGTAGTCCCAGCTACTCTGGAGGCTGAGGCAGGAGAAGGGTGTGAACCCGGGAGGCGGAGCTTGCAGTGAGCCGAGATTGCGCCACTGCACTCCAGCCTGGGGCAGAGAGCGAGACTCTTGTCTCCAAAAAAAAAAAAAAAAAAAAAAGACTGTATCTGGACCTCAGTCTCCTCTATCAGAAGTAATCTATCTCAAGGGAAAGAAGGGGGGCATCCTTCCACTTATGGTTACTGATTGGGGTGCTGATGTCTCAGCACAAGAACCCACACATTTAATAGATGACATTTACTATATGCCACCCCAACTCCTCTCTGAATAGGCAGGATAAGAACAAACAGCATGAATCTGTAGATTTGTACAGTCACGCTCATCTCTCAGTCCCCACCTCCACCTAACTTGTGTGTGCTTCTTCACATCTGTTCAATCCCTGCTCTTCCCACACTCCAATGAATAAATGCCCTCCCCTGCTCTTCCAGGCCTGTGTCTAAATCCTTTCCCCCAGCAAGCCTGAGGTCCCATTTCTTCATTACTTCTCTAGCTCTGAATTCCTACCACACTGGTTAGGTGCCAAGTGGTTGAATGTGTATATTATCAGATACCTGTCTGCCCTGAGTAAGCCCTTGCTTAAAATATTTGGCCAGATGGTCAATATTTAGATTGTAGGTTGTTTAACAAGTCTAAAATATGGTCCCTGCTATTTAATAGCTAAAAAGTCATTTTAATGAATATGAAAAGATAAACGTAGCTGATTTGTTAGATGGCTGGGATTGAGTAATTGTTAGAATTACATATATACATACATACATACATATATATATATATATATATATATATAAATTTTTTTTTGTTTTTGAGACGGAGTCTAGCTCCATCACCCAGGCTGGAGTGCAGTGGCCGGATCTCAGCTCACTGCAAGCTCTGCCTCCCAGGTTCCCGCCATTCTCCTGCCTCAGCCTTCCGAGTAGCTGGGACTACAGGCGCCCGCCACCTCGCCCGGCTAGTTTTTTTTTGTATTTTTTTTTAGTGGAGACGGGGTTTCACCATATTAGCCAGAATGGTCTCGATCTCCTGACCTCGTGATCCGCCCGTCTCGGCCTCCCAAAGTGCTGGGATTACAGGCTTGAGCCACCGCGCCCGGCCCCATTTTTTGGTATTTTTAGTAGAGACGGGGTTTCACCGTGTTAGCCAGGATGGTCTCGATCTCCTGACCTCGTGATCCACCCACCTCGGCCTCCCAAAGTGCTGGGATTACAGGCGTGAGCCCCCGCACCTGGCCAGAATTACTTATATTTTTTAAAAGTTAAAAACAATTACCTTAAAAAAACTGTTGCAGATGGAAAGGAAGGGCTCTGAGGTCAGACACTATTAGTTCATCTAAGAGCAGTCAGGACTCCAAGAAATTGACTCATGCAATTTAAACACATAAATTCTGGAATGCCAACAAATTAGATGTAACAGGAAATACACAGTTCCAATGACTGGAACAATAACATCTAACACCCAGGGTACTCTGTAACCCATTCTCCATTCTCCATTCCAAGGCTTCTGGAAAGCCAGTTTAGTAATCAGAAGGCAGCTTCAGCATACAATGACAGTAAATGGTGGTGAAAGGTCCTAAGAGCTGTGCCATCCATGTTTCTGGGGCTTGGAGAGCCTGAGTAATTCACTACAGGGCAGTATTTCTTAAACTAATTCCACTGGAACTGAGCTGTGCCAGGTACCACCCACAGATGTGGAATAATTACTTTAAAAAATAATTCAGTTATATGTTTTTATTAAAGCCAGACACAGTATAACTTTCTCAGTGCTGTGATACCTGTTCATAATATACATTGTTTTCCTTCCTGCTGGGGTGTTTTTTGTCTGTTTTGACAAATGTTTCAAGGTGTTCACAGGGTGTTCGTAAGAGTGGTGGTGTTTGGCTCTCCACTGCTTCAGAGGCCTCCTCCTAGTGATCAGAACACCCCTGTCTAGAGAAAGCCTACTTCTTCAGTCAATCTCTTATGATATCATTATCTCAGACTTACTGCAATTTAGTTAGATCCCAGCTTAGCTGCTACCTTTCCTTTCGAGATGGGGGTCTCTCTCTTATCACCCAGGCTGGAGTGCAGTGGTGCGATCTTGGCTCACAGCAACCTCTGCCTCCCGGGCTCAGGTGATCTTCTCACCTCAGCCTGCTGGGTAGCTGGTCCAGTATGTTTGACCTGCCCAATATACTGTTTGTTTATCAGACAGAGTCTAGCTGTCGCCCAGGCTGGAGTGCAGTGGCACAATCTTGGCTCACTGCAACCTCCGCTTCCTGGATTAAAGTGACTCTCCTACTTCAGCCTCTCGAGTAGCTGGGACTATAGGTGTGTGCCACCATGCCCAGCTAATTTTTGTATTTTTGGCAGAGACAGGGTTTCACCATGTTGCCCCGGCTGGTCTCAGACTCCTGAGTTCAAGCGATCCACCTGCCTTGGCCTCCCAAAGTGCTGGGATTACAGGCGTGAGCCACTGCACCGGGCCACTGCTGTTATCTTTCTTTTCTTTTTTTTTTTTTTTTTTTGAGACAGAGTCTTGCTCTGTTGCCCAGGCTGGAGTGCAGTGGGGCTATCTCAGCTCACTGCAACC